TCCTGCTGGTGGTGTTGAAGACTGTCTGTGTTCCTGCTAGAAGCTTTCTGGGTTTTTTTTTGTTCAAAACCAAACCAAACCAAAACAACAAAGTAAAGCATTTAGCAACATGTCAAGACTTCAAACTCTTGGACTGTAGTTGCCACCACTGCAAAGTCTCTGAAGCACTCCTTGAGTGCATGTTACGTTTTTTACCAAAGCCAAATCTCTTGAGCACTTTTTTCTCCCATGACCAGATTTTCTTCCTACTTTTCTTTGACTACACAATCAATTATGATAATCTTTTTTTTTTCTCTGATGGTGGGAAGTCTCACTCAATCACTGACATTTTATTTATTTAATATTTCAGTATGATATGAATCAAAATAAATTTTTTATTATAATCAAAGGTGTTTCTCTCTGTGCACACTTCTTCTTCCCACAACATTTCCGTTATTTGATGCAGGGAGAAACATAGTGACCAGGGATGAGGAAGAGAATGAGGTACTTAATGCCGCCTTTGCCTCAGTCTTTAGTAGGAAAACCAGCTCTGGATACCCAGCCCCCTGAGCGGGAAGACAGGGATTGGAAGCACAGTGAAGCCTCTATAATCCACAAGGAATTCGTTAGACACCTGCTACATCACTTAGGTATACACAAGCTTATGGGGCCAGATGGGATCCATCCGAGTGAACTGAGGGAGCTGGTGAAGTGCCAGCTCACAACAACCCCATGCAATGCTGCAGGCTTGGGGAATAGTGGCTGGAGAAGGACCTGGGGGTGTTGGTTGCATCCTCCTGGAGAAGCTGGGTGGGCATGGATTGGACGGGCATACGCTTTGCTAGGTTAAAAACTGGCTGGATGGCCGAGCACAGAGAGTTGTGGTGAATGGAGCTAAATCCAGTTGGCTAAAAGTCACAAGCGGTGTTCCCTAGGGCTCGGTTTTGGGGCCAGTCCTGTGTAACACCTTTATCAATGATGTGGAGGAGGGGATTGAGTGCTCCCTCAGCAAGTTTGCAGGTGACACTAAGTTGGGAGGGAGTGTTGATCTGCCTGAGGGTAGGAAGGCTCTGCAGAGGGACCTGGATAGGCTGAATCAATGGGCTGAGGCCAACTGTATGAGCTTCAACAAGGCCAAGAGCCGGGTCCTGCACTTCAGTTGCAATAACCCCATGCGTGGCTGGAAAGCTGCCAGGCAGAAAAGGACCTGGGAGTGTTGGTGGACAGCAGGATGACCATGAGCCAGCAATGTGCCCCTACGGCCGAGAGGGCCAATGGCATCCTGGGGTGTATCA